CTTCCCATTCTTGTTTAGTAACCCACCAAGATTGTTTATCCTTCATTATGTTAGCTAGAACTGCACCACCAAGGAATACCATGTGCTTACGCCTAGGTGGATCCTCAATTCGAATTTTTAATTTCTGATAAGGTTTAATAGATTGCCAATTACATTTAATTGTTTGTTACAAAATCGTAGCATTAAACATGTAATTTGCTTCCTACCTTTAATTTTGAAATATCGCCTTTTGCGACCCTTTTTAAATATAATTGCTTAAGTTCTTTTTCTAGGCGGCTTGGCAGCCCAGGATACATCGATGAACCGCCTGACAAGACAATATGCCGGTATAATTCTGGACGAATGTCAACCGCAGCGTCTTGGATGGTTTCGAAAAGCATTTCTTAATAGTGATGAGAAACACATGTAAACATATAGCAAAATTTTAAGAATTCAATTGAAAAATTATAAATAACATTCCAAATACCCGCAACACCAGATTTTTCAACATCAATTAAATGCGGTTGGAACATGCATTCAGGTGCCTCGAATCTCTCGGAGCCCACTTTTATAACACGACCATCAGGTAACTAATAGAATGGTTTCTTTCAGCGCAGTTTTTAATAATCAAGACGTCCATTTCTTGAAAGTAGATAGATGACTTACTGTATAATTCTCGACGAGTACAGTAGTTTCGTTTGCCAATTTTTGATCCAATGGAATATCGTAGCTTATAAAATTGCGTATGTTCGATCAATAAAGAAATAAGATAAGCCTATGAAAGATCAACATGGTGTTTCAGTACCTTACATAACAAAGTTTTTCCTTAATTTGCCTTACAGTCTCAAAATCTGCAGTTCTGTTAAAAGCATATCCCCTCAATAAAAGCAATTTTATAAGATAACGCGTCACATCTCGTCCAGCAACATCTAATCGACGTGTTTGGTGTGGGAGTGCATAACCATCGAAAATAGGAACAATATGAGTTACGCCATCACCAGAGTCGACTACTACCCCAGTAAGAAGACCTTTTTATATAATGGTAAAATTAAAATAAGTCCATAAAGCAAAAACATAAAAATACGTTAATATGCATCTGAGAAATCACCTTGAGCGTAAAGAGTTAATACAGCCTGAATAGAAACGTAAACTCCTTGAAATCCATATTCCTCAAACATCATTCGCACCATTTCCTGCCTATTACTTGTTGGATTCATTGGTGGTTCGGTCAATAAAACTTTACAATCCCTAGGATCCACTTTCAATTTTTCATTGAAGGTATAATTCCATAAGTGTTTCATGTCCTCCCATATCTTTATAATACCATTTTCCATCGGATATGACATTTGAAGCATCGAACGAAGTTCGGCAGCTTCATCACCAACCATAATATTTTTGATTTCTACATTCCCAACCTTTTCCTCTGCACGAAGAATAGGTCGTCCAACAACGGAAGGGAATACATATTGTGGAAAATTAGATCCAGCATAGCCAACTTTTACAAACTACAAGAGTAGAAAGGAAGGATTCACAAAAGTTAATATACGATGACTATTGATGAGACAAGAGGAAGTAATACTTTAACTCACCCCAGTTCCGTTATCAACAACCAGAGTCTTCGAGGAGTCCATTTGTGTTTGTAAAAAATTTAATAACCCTATCAAACCTACATAGCTGCTATATACCAAATTCTGGTTGGCTGGCCTGCTTGAACTTCGGGCTAAGTTCGAAATTTGAACCGAAATCGAACCGAGCCAGCTGCTTTTTAATATGGTTCGGTTCGAAAGTTCACGAACTTGTGATCAATCAAGTTTATTTCAGAATTTGTAACTGTTTTTTTTTTTAACTTTGCTGATAAACGTTTTATAAAATTTAGCTTTGCGGGAAGTTCA